TGTAACACTTCGCGTTGGCGCGACCGCAGTCAACCTTAAAAAAATTACACACGCAAAAGTCATCATCTATCTGAAAATAATAGGAAAACCAAGTACTACACATACACACACACACACACACACACACGCGTACACAAAGAGCATCGGCAGGTCGGTAAAAAGAAAAAAAAAAGAAGAAAGAAACAAGGCGACTGCCAATAAAAATAGCGCGTTATCGTGTGAGAAACGCAGTGGCTGCTTGCGATAAGGCTTTACGCTGCTTTGAAAAAAAAATAATAGAATGAAGCAGAGTCGAGCGACGAGAGACACAGGCGTATATATTGTGCGGCGAGTTTATTTGCAGACGTTGGGCCGCTGCCGCTCGCGATGCCACACGCGCTTGATCCGAGAGTATCCCAGCACCCCACCCCCTTTCTCTCTCTCTCTCTCTATCCCGACGACTGCAGACGCTGCCGATGGCGAGTCAATAATAATCGTAGAAACGACAGCGGAGGAAAAAAATGACAGAGAAGAAGGCGGCAGCGATGCGTCACGAGCTGCAATCGTGGCCGGCGCAGCGTAAATTAAGCGCGTGCGCGAGAGCTATAGCACACACATCGCACTGATCGCGGGCGCGTTACCTAAGAATCTCGCTATATACACTCGACAGCTTGGCTCGCTCGCTCGCTCGTTCGCTCGCTCGAGAAGCCTATTATCCGTGCGTGCGCGCGAAATTTCCGTGCCGCTATAGCTCTCGCCGGGCGTACGTGTGTACGAGCGTAGCTACACGTGCACGCGCAGTTGATGACGAGCACGCGCGCTCGCGAATCACACACACGCGCGCGCGCAGGCGAGCGCGGGCTCGGCGCAGCTTTATCGCCGCGCGCATAGGTGTGTGCGCTTGCGTGCGACCATCTCTTCTCGCTCGCGCGCACCTCTAATGAGTCTACAACGCTACATAAGCGAGTGCGCAACTATAGCCGACGGACTTGATGTTGCTATTTTCGACATCTTTTCCGACTGCGCTCGCGTCGCTGGCGAAGCTCGCGAGCTTCGAGCCGCGCGTCCGCCTTGACGTTGCCGTCGCCCGCGACGAAGTCCTCGGTCGCGTCCGTCGTCTCGCGAGCGCGACCGAGCTTTGTCAAAATCCCGCGGCGGATCCTCGGAGTCGAAAAAAGAACCAAGGAGAAGCGATTGTAACGAGCTGCACGATGCGCCTCTCCGTCCGCGGAGCGCGAGATCCTATCGGGCCAATCGTAAAAAGCGATTTATGCCGCTCGAGATATATATCCGTTATTGCTCTATCGGCCGACCGAGCGCGCCTGCACGCACACTCACACGGCTGAGCAATGACTTTCAAGTGTATCCCTATCGTTCATTATGCAACTGCGACGATTAGATTAATTTCAAACGGACGATATTACCGAGACACACACGCACGCGGATAATTAACACTGTAAATAGCGACGTCCGAGAGCAGTGGCAAATTTCGTTTCTGAACAACAGCTGCTTGAGCCTCTCGTACAGCTGCATGCGTCGGATATTCTCAACTGGCCAATGTTGGCAGCCATCATTCTACATGCTTGTAATATCCATTTCGATCAATTTATTCAAACTTAGAATATAGATTTATTATATAGATGTAGTTTAAGCAAGTTTCTATATACGATCCCACGAAGAACAAGGAAAGAGGACATTTTTATGCTCAAGTTTAGCATTTGCGGATTCAATATTATTTACATTTCATTCCACTGAATGGTATGATAGAAAAGCTCAGAAAGTTCAGTGTATCAAAAAACTGTCGAGATTTACATTTAATTTATCCGAGATTAATATTAAAGTGGGCCGTAACGAAGAGCTAAAATATTGTAGAAGCCAATTTAATTAAAAGTTAGCTTTTACATTTTCATTTAATTATATTCCAGATGAAAGAAGTGGGGCTAGATAACTTTGATTTCATTTTCTGTGGTAATAAACATATTACCCAGTGAAGTATAAGTAGTTTAAATGTTGATACTTTTTTGGGACAACTTGCACAAGAACGGATAATATAACCACATTTGAAAGAGAAAGCCGCGTACCGATAATCGAGCGAACATCTCTTAACTTTGATTCGAAAATTATTGGAAAAATTAGCGACTGGCATGGAAAATTGACGACCAACGTACTAAAGCTGAAAGCTGAAAGTATCAGTAGTACAAGGCCAGATATGGTAAGACACAGAGTCGACCGGCTAAGCTTAAATAAGTAAGCTCGTTCAGCTGCAAAGTGAAAAGAGCAAGGAAACATATAGCGAGCCTTTAGAGATATTTTAACGAAAGCAAGAGTCACGCACGGTGGACATTTGGCGAGGTCGCGTAGAGCGCACAAATCACGGGTAAAGTGCGAAAATAATTCTTGGTTGCAAAGAGGGAGAGAGAGAGAGAAAGCGAGAGAGGTTGGGCTTTTCGAAGGAGCGTACTGCACCCCCGCGTCGCTACACTTTTTTTCTGGTCCAGCAAGCGCCTCTCTCTCTCTCTCTCTCTCTCCTTCTCTTTCTGTCCGTATCCTTCTCACGCTTCGCACGTCGCTCTTGAACGGAGGAGAAGGAACTCTCCTCGTCGTCTCGTCTCGGTCTCGCCTATGCACTTATCCCTTGGCTAAGCCTCTTTCTCTCTATCCCCACTTCGCAGAGCAGCTGCAGCCTGCGATCCCACTACCACCTCGACCTTTCCTATCTCGCCAGCCAGTCTTTGTCTATAATACTTCTCTCGCTCGCTCTCTCTGTCTGTCTCTCTCTCTCTCTCTCTCTCTCTCTAGCTCATCGTCTTATTTTTCGAAGACAGCACCTCTTATACTACTGATCGGCTTTCTTTCCCTCTCCTATACTACTAATGTATATGCATACTTGCCCGACTATTAACTTGTTTGTCCCACACTTCGTTTCGCAACTTGTTTCGTTTGTTATCCTTTCTTCAACTCTGAAGTTTTGACACTGCCCTGACGGGATGGGATGTACCAAGCCTGTTCATCATTGCTCTAGATGTTATAATCGTGATAATGGCCGTATTGCTTCCGCAAGCCCAATAGAGTTAGGAAAAAATAAAAGAGTTGATTTGCAAAAACAAAGAATTTTCAGCGAGCCTCGTTTACTCCGCTCTCGATATCCATTCTTTCGTTATTATCTGCTTGAACGCATTGCGCTCCGTGTGCTGAAATCTCAGCCTAGCTTCCTCTTGCTCGGCGTTGCTCTCGACCTTACAGCCAACTCCGTCCTCCGTCCGTCGAAAGAGCTGCACTCTTTTCTTGGCAGAGTTTAGCGCTTGCGTATTGCGGATCGAGCGTGCGTCGGGCAGGCTGGTCGCCGATGCGTGCGAGTGCGTCGCTCGTCGAAGCTTGCGAGCGATCGCCGCTCCAAATGCGTGGCGCGTGGCGAGGTTGGCAGGAGGGCAATCAAGCCAATTAAAACGTCATCGCGATGGCCAATCGTCATGCGCGTCAATTGCGCGGAGCAAGAGCGCCTCGCAGAAGCCGAGGAAAGCGAGCGGCGGTGAATTGACGTCGAAAAAGCTGCGCAGAGCCAGTGCTGGTGCGCGAGTGTGGGAAATGCAGCACGCAGCGCGAGCTAAGAATGCGAGCGCATGTGTGCGCGGGTGGTAAGGGCAGCGGCGGCGGCGGTGGCGGCGGTGGCGGCGGCGGCGGCGGCGGCGGTGGCGGCGGTGGCGGCGGCGGCGGCGGCGGCGGCGCGGCGACGCAGGGAGTCGGCAGACTGCGTGTGTGCGAGCAGGCGAGAGAGGAGACGGCAGCCGAGGGCGGGAGGGAGAGGGAGAGAGGGAGGCCGGCGGGGAGAGGGAGCTGCTGCGGCGGAGGCGCCGCGAAGCCGCCGCGCCTGCTGCTGGCGCTCGTCGGCTAAGTTCGGGCAGCGCTTGGCGCGCTCGCAGCTCGCTGCTGTAGGTTAGTTGACCGCGGGGCCGAGCGCCCGACACTCACCGACGAGCCAGCGCGCAGCTCCTCGCCAGCGAGACGACAGTACGCCGGCTATACACCTAACTATACGCACGCACGCACATCTTTCTTCTCCTTCGACGACACTACCGCTATCAATCTTTCGCTCGCGCGCTCTCTCGTTCTCTCTCTCTCTCTCTCTTTCTCTGGCTTCTGTTTCTGGCACCCTTCGCGCAAGGCCTCTCTCTACAACTCGGATACCAGCGCCTTTCATGTAGCATCAGGTAGGCAGCTTGCAACTCGACGGCTTAGAGAGAGAGAGAGAGAGAGAGAGAGAGAGTGACAGATAGAGAGAGAGAGAGAGAGAGGACACGAGTTGGCGCGCCAGCACGCTATTTTTAAGTTAGCGTTCCAACCATCACAACACTCACACGCATCGCGCGAGAAATGTCATGAGCCCAAGAAGATCCGTATACCGTTTCTTGCAATCGACAGTGCGGCAGCTTTCGCGCGAGCAACGACGACGAAAAAACAGTGCTTTGAAACAGACAGTGTTGCGCGCTCTCTTGCTCTTTCTTTCAGCCGTCCGTGCCTCGCTAGGTTTCTCTGGTCAGTGATGTATCGATGATCTTTCGTCGCGCAGCCAAGCAAGAGCTAAATCAGTGACACGGCGAAGTTTCAACGCGCGCGAAGAGCCCTCCTCCCACGCAGCTGCATCGTACGCAGAGCTTGTAACGTGCGCTTCTGCGATTTTCCTTTTCGGCCGTGTTTGTGCGCCGTCACGCGAGTGTGCAGTCTCCCAAGTGTCTCTCTCTCTCTCTCTCTCTCCTCCGACGCAGGCAGTGTGACGATCGAAACGCGACCGCTACTCTATGCCACGCCGTTTGATTTTTCCACTGGGATGCAACGGCCTTGTTCAATGTACCTTACCGACGACTCCCTGGCCAACAACTGCCACGCAAGAGCATCGAGCGACTGACGTTCGTTACCTTACATTTGCCTACTTTATTCGGATAGACCGCACGCGCGAGATGCCGTGCATCCAGTTTTGCCGTAGCAGCTTAGAGAGCCAGTGTCAATTCGATTGGAGATAAAAGCGCCGCCTGAAAAGCCTCGTCGCTCGTTGCGAACGTTACAGCCAGTCGACAGCCGCGTGATAACGCCAGCATGAAAATTGAATTGTGTGTGTGGCGAAGTGCGCGATTTTGAAGAAGCAGCAACCTCCGAGCGAGCGGGCGTGCGCGAGAAGCGCTCGCGTTGGCAAACAGCTGGCTACATATTTTACTTTCGGCGAGGGCCACGCCGATGCGCGCGTCGTTTACGCGTTCGCGTACGCTACTCGGCCGCTGCCTGGCGAGCTTCCTCTGGTATCTCGGTTTTCGACGCCGACGCTCGCGTGCGTGCAGTGCCAAGTGACGCGAGTACAGCTGAGACGCGCGCAGACACGTGAAATTTAATCGTTCCGTAATGCTGAACGTTCGATGCTACAATAAGGGAGTGTGCATTATTTACGCAACTTTGCCAAGTGAATTGACGATTCGAGAGGCGAGCGTTAATAATAAAACAAGTGCTGGATGTTGTGCTAAGCATTAAAATACGATATGCACTCTCTGTAAGTTATTATCGATTGATAACTGTATCGCGCACGCGGAATATATACGCGAACAAAGATTTTCTTACGCCAACTGCTAATTAATACGCGAGCAGCGGCACAGAACACGAAATCGTTCAAGCTCGGCAAAAGAAAAATGTACTCGCGCTGACGATTTAAATATCCGAAAGCTCGAGTGGGCAACGAGAACGTAGCGAGTACGCGGAGTAAAACTAACGCCGTTGGTACGAAAGAGAAAAATCAGTCGACCTCCATCGCGTTGGAACAGCTGATCGCCGTGTGCTTTTTTTCGCAAATCAAGATGCGCGCGCGATCAATACACACTGTAACCGAAAGCTCGCGCGACCGCTGCACACGTACGTACATACGTACCGCGCGTACAGATACGCGGGCGCATGGGAGCGAGAAAGAGAGAGAGAGAGGGAGAGTGGGAGTGGGAGCAAGAGCGTGCGTATGAGAGGGAACGTGGCATTCGTAAATATGAATTCCTAAAGCCCGCGCTGACCTTGTCCACGCGCTCTGACGCGTTTTGGCAGAAGCGACCGACTCGCGCATGCACGCAATTCCGCTTTTCGCCTCTACGCGAGTAGAATGCCAGTCAAAATCGGGCGAATCTTCCGAGCTCTCCTTGCATTTTCGTCGGACTCCGTGCTTGCGCGCAAGCTCTCTTCTCACTCTGTACTTCCTGTCCTCCCCGCGAAATAACAACACACTGCATATCTATTCGTTTTATTGCCGAGAGAGCGTAACCGTGGCGTCCCTATTGTTCTTTTTAAGATCCAAGGATGAGAAGTTTGGACGACAACGAAGTGATACTTGGAGCTTTTATTCGGTTTACTCTCGTCGAGTGTATGGTTTTCAGAAGATTACAGGTGAGTTTACTTGACATCTCGCCTCTATCTTGCGATATGTGCTTTGTAAGAGAAACAATTTCGATCTGTTGAAAATTAATAATTTGTTATACTTCTCTAACGTAAGCGTTTTCTATTCTTGACAGTCGCCAATGAGTATTCCTATTATTATGCAGCAGATTATCGTTTTGCCTACTCACATTCCGCGCTATATGCGTTTACTCATTGTTTCCCGACACGAGTCAGATATATGCCTCCTCAAATTCTACAACTATTTCATTCAAACTTGGCTTTTTCCATTAAACTTAAGATAACTTTAATGCAAACATTACGTGCGCTCGTCTGCCTTCTTCACTGCGGTTGATTAAAAAAAAAAATTTCACGAAGCTGCAAATAATGAAAGTTACTTAGTATGAATAATAAACTTTGCGTCGGCATCTGCAGTCTTAATACTTTTAAATTCAATCCGACTCGGGGCATATGAAGAAAATGTATAATTGATTTGTTGACTGCTCACAAAATTCAATATGAAAGACAAGTTATCTCAAGTTTTCATCGTGTTTTCTCTTTCGCGAATTCATCGTCAACAGCAGTATGTATTTAAAAATAATCGGTTGATCGAGAGAATAATAGCGCAATCGCATTCACGCGCAAGGACTAATAACGATGCAAAATAAAACTTTGGACGGTCAGCAGAAAAAAAAAAGAAAAAGTATTTTTCGCGCTGTACAGATGCCGGAAAAGCGAAGGAGAAAAAAAGAAACTGACGTTAAGTTGGCTCAGCTGTTTTCCTCGAATGGTCGCGAGACATAATAGAATCGCAATCGTAGCGAGCTGATGAATAATTGCTTTCGACGGAGAAGGGCCAGCGCGCCGATCGCCGCAATAGAAGGCGACAGCAGAGCTACGAGCCAGCTCCTCTACGAGCGCCTCGAAATGCCTCGTGTGTGCAGCCGCGTTTTCCTCACACGTGCACCGCTGCCTCGCACATTAGCATAGCCCATGTGTGCGCACGTGTAACGCGGAGAGGCGACTTTTCCCTCTCTCCTGTTCCCACCGACTGCTCGCTCCGCACGCGCGCCAATGCGCAAGAGAGCAACAGAGACAGAGAGCAAGAGCTTTTTATTTGCATCTATGCGCCCGCGGACCAGTTACTGTTTTTATGAATGACGCGACACACACACACACACACACACACACACACACACACACACACACACACACACACACATACACATCGCTATAGGAAACTTTAGCTGACTACAATTATGTATCGTTCTTTGATTTTTCTACCCGCGTATAAATGAATACACGCACGTGGATTTTCAACCGACTCAACTATAATACGTTGCAACAATTTTATCATTCAAATATTATTCTTAACTACATTTTATTCGAAAAGGAGAAAATGAGTTATTTAGAGCTTCGATAAATGTAATCTACGTAAATCGAAAGTTATAACTGTTAATGAGCGGGTAACAAAGCAGAAACTCCACGTGAATTTTAACAAAAATAATTTTTTGTAAATATTAGTCGAGCTCTTGGAATGCGTTCAATTTTGTTCTCAAACTGAAAGGAATGAATGATACAGCTATATATAAGTAGATAAAGACATGCTTTGGTCGGACGACGATTTAGTGCTCGACCAAAGAATAAAAAAAAATCCCAAGTCGCGCGTACAAGCCACGGCGACTGCGTAAAAAGAAAAGAAAACGATGAAAAGTGCGAACTAGTTCACCGACAAAACGACATTGAACATTTATTTAACGACGGAAGAATGAAACATAAGCAACAAACAGTGCGTTGTGTCATCGATAACAAGTCACGCGTGCATACTGCAATCAATCGAACGCAGAAAAGCGACTGGCGAAAGTAAGTGGCGAGGAGCCAAGCGTGCGCGTGTACGGCACTGAGTGCACAACATAGACGATTGACGTTTCGCGTTCGCGAAGGTCGCGGTCTCTCTCCCTCTCTCCGTCTCTATCGCACTCTCCTGCGTGCAAGCGCGCCCGACTGCTGCCACAGCCGCTGTATATCTGTAGCTCGCGCTTACGCACGTATACGCACGTATACGTATTTAATGGCCGTTACGCCGTCAAATCGCGGAAAGCGCGGATCCTGGCACCAGGCCCTCTCGCTCGACGCGCGTACGTAGGAACGTGAGCGCGCTGCCGCCGGAAAACAATTATTTTGCATTCTTTGCGCGCGCGCCACACATGCACGCGCTCTATACTCGTAATGTTGCACTTCGCTTTACGTCGTGATTACCCGCGCGCCGCCGCTCCTCTTTTTTACATCTTTTTCTTTGGTTTTTCTTTTTTTTTTCTCTCTCTCTCTCTCTCTCTCTCTCTCTCTGTTATTGCTTTTCTTTTTTTGTTTTTTCTTTTCGTGCACGTTATTATGCGCTGTCTCGTTCACAATAGAACTACCGCTTTATACTAGTGATGTCTATTCCAGTTACGTTTTCACTTCGTGTTTGATTTGCTTTAGTGCTTTCTTCTTCCTGCAGGATAAAAGTCAATTATGTTTTACTAATGCACGGTCAATCTGCTTGAACGAATTGTGAGGTGAGGCCTATTTGTTCTATAAACTCACTTTTGATTTTCGGAAATTTTCTATGCACATGTTTGTTCAAGTTTTTTTTTCTTATTTCTTGCATGCATTATCGTATCAGTCTATCAAGTATATCAGACTGCTAATCAGAATAAGCTATTTAATGCTTGCAATTAAGACAAATTGTAATTTTTTTTTTCAGTGTCAAGTGTTTTTTTTTAATGATAGTCAATTTGATCATACTCTTACATAAGACTGTACGTATAGTTAACGAGACGTGAGCATAATATTTAAGTGAATTGTAATTTGTTGAATCTATTCCTAATAGATTCTTTATCTTTTGATAAAGCGATATTCTGATTATGCAAAATTACATCATTTTGAATTATCTTTCGAATAAGTACGAGTACGATGTTAGACATACATTTTGCACTATAATCACCTAAAATTAGACGCCTGAGAAAAAGATATTTTTACGACTAAAAAGAAAAATGCCATCGAAAAAAGCAATAGAAATTTTCGCCATACGCTTGGTTAAATGTCCATGTCCATTTGCTCATCCGGTTCTCGTGGCGATCCGCATCAGACATGCCATCTCTTTCTCTCTCTCTCTCTCTCTCTCTCTCTCTCTGTCGTCGTTTTCCATTTGATTTTGGCACAACAAATCAGAGAGCTAAAGCTCAAGCGCACACTGCAGCAGCAGTAGGTCTTCATTTTCACATTGAATTGAAGCGCCAATCACGCGGGCATCACGTCGCGACGCGTGTCGGTCCATCGGTGCCGACCGATTGCGCCGAAAAGTTATCCCAACCACTCCGCTCTGTGATTTTTCAATTAAAAGCTCCCAGAGGCCAAAATAAAACGAGAGAGAAAGCCAATAGCTCACCAGCTCTTCTCTCTTCGATTCTGGTGTATGCATTTATATAGATACGCATATTGGTGCCTGTTGGCGAATAGATGTGTGTTGTGAAAATCGTTATTCCCTCGTCCTCGATATGCGAAATCAGCGCATGTATCTCTCTGCTGGCGCCTTTTATATTTCTCTGGTCGTCGTTGTGTTTGCGCGTGTGTATTTTTCCCCCATTGGACCGGCCCTTTGTGCGCTTACGTAGCTCTCTTTTTATTTATCGAGATTGAAATCGATTCGTCGCCAAGCGCGCGCGATGAAAAGTCCACTCGCTGCCCTTCCACTCTACAGATGCTCGCTCTTCGCGTCAAGTCGAATACAAGTTTTTTTTCCTACGCTACATCTCCCGTAGATTTGCGGAACTTCCATCGTGGCTTTTCTTAAATGCGTTTTTATCGTCTTACCATTTGACGGTTAACGGATGATCGCTCGGCCACTTTTTCTCTTTGCTTCATTCTTCAATCACTTCGCGTTTTGTTCTTTATAGACCGGAAAAACTTTTTATTGCAGATTGGAGCGAACTACTTTTTTTTCGTGACCTGGGTCTTTGAACTGAGTTTATTATAACACTTGGTTAGCCCACTAACAGATTGATGACTTTAACACCGCTGTAACTAAAAGAATATTGGTACATACTCTTTATACATTGTAGCAAAACGGCTCTTAATGCTAGTTTTATAACATTGTTTTTTTTTTTAAATAATGCATGATGTTACACGAGTTCAAACACAAGTTTTAACTTTGATAACTACTTGTTGGTTATAATTTTTTTTAATAAATAGTAACACGGTTATAGCCTTATTTAAAATATTTAGTTGAATAGAAAAGATTCAGAAACTGTAGTAGAAAATCTGATCTTTAGACTACAATGTATTTCTACCAACTTCGTTGTACTAAATTCGAATTGTGTTATTAACAAGATCAAATTTCTTTTTTGAAATATTTAACGTTAATATATCAATAAAACCTTTCGTGACGGGATAAATTTCTCTTATATTTAAATTATGGGTTTTCGGAATGCAGAATTGCAAATTGTGATAAAAATAGGTCACGGTCGAAAAACAAAATTAAAAAACCAGCCTCCATAGTTTCCACTGATTTTTCGTCTTTCCGGTGCAGGTTAAATCTCACAAGTCTATTTTCAAACTGGAACAAGCAGATTAAAAATTGAAAAGCAGAAATAGTCTGATCCAAAAATCTGATAAGAATTTTTCTTGCAGGTACATGTGTGCATGAGCATATTCATATATGTATATACTCATAAGCATACGTGTTTATTATTCAATTTTTTTTATTTTTTTTTAATTTGAAGTGAGAAAATGGAAATAATATAAAACTATATCTTCGCAGTAGCTAGAAAGTCGATGAAAAAAGAAAGATTATGACAATCGAAAGTACGAAGCACGTAGAACCTTGTGATCTGCAGTTGCTCAATCTTTCGTCGGCAGATGGCCAAAACTGTATCCAACAACCGCTTAAAGCTCGTCTGCAGTATGCATGCTCGGAACGCCACGACATATCACAGTTCCGCGTTGAGTGCGTTCTCTCTCTTTCTGTGTCT